AAACAAGAATACATCATTTCACTCAAAACTCTATAAAGAATTTACAGCATGTTTGGTTCACGGAATGAATTTTGAGGTAATAGGAATGCTATTCCATAAGGAATAGAATAGGCAAGGAATAGAATAGGATTTGTATTCTATTGTTTGGTTCGCGGAAGGAATAGACTTTAGGAATTATATTACAGTGTTTGGTTGATTTAAGGAATAGAAATGAAATATGTTTTAAAAGACATAAATACCCTTATAAATATATGTGATGTTGGTGATGGTGACGGTGGTGGTGACGGTGGTGGTGGCGGTGGTGGTGCTGGTGCTGGGGTGGTAGTGGTGGTGGTGGCGGTGGCAGTGGTGGGGGGGGGGGGGGGGGGGGGGGGGGGGGGGGGGGGGGGCGGCGATGGTGGTGGTGGTGGCGGTGGTGGTGATGGTGGTGGTGGCGGTGGCGGTGGTGGTAGTGGTGGTGGCGGCGGTGGTAGTGGTGGGGCGGCGGCGGTGGTGGGGGCGGTGACGGTTGTGGCGATGGTGGTGGCGGCGGAGATGGTGGTGGTGGTGGTGGTGGCGGCGGCGGTGATGGTGGTGGTGGTGGCGACGGCGGTGATGGTGGTGGTGGCGGCGACGACGATGGTGGTGGTGGCGGCGGCGGTAATGGTGGCGGCGGCGACGACGGTGGTGAAATAGGATAAATTTATATATATGATAAAAAAAAATTAGGTTAAAGAAAGGGGTAAAAAAGGAAATAGATTCTAAAATCTATTCCTGAGCGTTCAGTAATAGGCTAATACCAGGGGGGCCCTAGTAATAGCTATTACCTTATTTGAGGTAATAGGCTATTACCAGGAATATTATTCCTGGTAATAGAAATGGTTACCAAACAACGGAATAGGCCTATTGCTGGGAATGCTATGCCATTCCCGGCCTATTCCGTGAACCAAACGGGTCATTAAGGTTTATTAATTTGGGATGATACGTGTTAGATTTTTTTTTTCTTTGAATTTGGGATGATTTAAGGAGAATTGTATAACGAAATTACATTTAAAAAAAAAAAAAAAAAACTTCATCTCAAATGACAATTCGACAGAAAATCTACCAAAAAAACAAATGTGTTTTGAAATTAATATTTTGAGAACTAAAATTGATCGATTTTAAAGTTGATAATCAAAAATGACAAAATCATAAATTCACAATATTCAAATGACAAAAAATGATATTAATTCATGATGCTTACCAATAATGATTGTTACAAAGAATATAATTATTTTGCCCGCATGGGCAGCTCAACTAGTTATAGAGGTGAAAGTTGTAAAGAATGACCAGGGATCGAGTCTCACCAGCGACAGTAAGGTCTAGTAGGGGCCCTCAGTTGAGTTAGTTACCATGATTTATATCCACCCAGATCAGATATGCTCTGTCGGAATATATTATATAGTTCTAGTAGGGGCCCTAAGTTGAGTTAGTTACCATGATTTATATCCACCCAGATATGCACTGTCGGAATATATTATATTGTTTAGTTGACTAGTCTATTCTATTGTATAGGAGCTTTTAGTGGTAGCTTTCCTATAGGTCTCTATCTTGTAATCTCTTTCCTGATTGAATGTGAATTGAGTTTGTTCATCTGGTATCAGTTAGCGTTAGGCTAGGAATCCTTCCCTGTTTTTTCTCCACCACCGTACCATGTCGACAAATTTATCTGAACGTACCGTAACCACCACCACCCCTCCATCGCAAACCACCGGGAACTCCCTAAATGCAGCGCATCACTTTGTTTCCATAAAATTAAACAACCACAATTTTTTATTTTGGCGCACTCAAATCATACCTTTCTTACGTGGTTAGGGACTTTTAGGCTACATTGACGGCAACCACTTATGCCCTCCGGTGACACTTCCGGCAACGGTGCAACCAGGCGACTCCGGCACCACCGTGGCTGGCTCGATGATCGACAATCTGGCGCATGCGGCATGGGTTTTGCAGGATCAATCGATCCTGTCTCTCCTGATCTCGTCTCTCTCCGACGAGGTCATGCCGTTAGCGGTTGGCCGGGAAACGTCACGCGATGTCTGGCTCTCCATCAATGAATCGCTAGCGTCCTCTACCCGGGCTAGGTGCCTCAATTTACTCGGTCAGTTCCAGACACTCCGGCAAGGCAACATGTCGACCTCGGAGTATCTTGGGAAGGCGAAGATGTTGGTCGAAGCTCTGTCCCTGGCCGGTCATCGACTCTCTCTCGACGAACAGGTTCTGTATGTGTTGAGGGGGCTCCGCCCGGAATTTCGGGCAATGGCGAGTGCACTTACCGTGACCGGCACACCGGTCACCTTATCGCAACTTGGTGATCTCCTGGGCAGCTCAACTGGTTATAGAGGTGAAAGTTGTAAAGAATAACCAGAGATCGAGTCTCACCAGCGACAGTAAGGTCTAGTAGGGGCCCTCAGTTGAGTTAGTTACCATGATTTATATCCACCCAAATGCTCTGTCGGGAAAGAAGAATATAATTATTTGAATTTGAATTTCTTTTTCCCCATGAAACTTGGTGGTTTAGAAATTCGTTTACTAACATTGAATGAAATTAGTTGATGAATCCCAAAAAATTCAAACGTTGGTGTTGTAAGGTGTAACAAGTCAACTACTTCCCCAACTTCCTACATTGAATAAAGGAGAGAATATAAAATCATATATAGCAGTTGAAGATAAGCCAAAATTCTGGATTTTAGGAATTACAAGGTGTAGAGTTGTAGAGATGGAAGGAATATGCAACTATCTGCCGGTCAACCATGTAGGAATAAAACCATTACCATTTGTAGCAACGTTGTTGTTGTTGTTAGGAGATCTGCTGCAAAACCTGAATGCCTCCCCTTTCCTTATAGTTAACAACTTCATAAAAAAATCATAACATTATTGGCAACTCATAAGGAAAGAGACTTTTGTGCCAACTCTGTCACAATTCAAGGTGTTAGTGACGGGTTTAGTCAATTCAGAATAGGTCGCAAATAAATAATATTTAGTGATTCAATAATATGTGATTGTGTATTTGTGCCAACTCTGTCATAATTCAAGGTTTTAATGACGGGTTTAGTAAGATCATAATAGGTCGTAAATAAATAATATTTAGTGATTGAATAATATGCGGTCTTGTATGGCTAACAAACATATTACCTTAGTATTTAGGAAATGATTTGTGTACTTAGGGACAGAACATAAAAAATTTCAAAACGCGATAAGAAATATTTGTGCTGAAATATGAAATGTTTGGACTAAGTTGCACATAATCTCTATTAATATGATATTTATAAATACTTTTTTATTTTTATTTTAATTAGATAAAATTTATGTATTTCTATATTAATTTGAATACAATGACACACAATAATTGAAATTTCTAGACTATATTAACTAGATAGTTCTTAAAAATTAAATTTTCTTTTAAAATATTTTTCATAATTGAATTACAAAACGTATTACATATCAATTAATTCATCAATTTAAATAATTATTAAAACACATAATACAAAGTACATTTAGAGTGTAATCAACAAGCTTTGTTTCCTAGATCTCTATGAAAATAAAATGCTTATTACCAACTAAACTAGTTCAACCTTTGGTAACTTTTTTGTTGGGATGGGGGAGGGGAACAACTACCCACTCCCTCCCCTCCCCTCTTTGGATCCGCCCCTATATATGAGTAATATTATATGCTAAAAAACAAACAAAGTAATTGTATAAAAATTATAAAATTTTATATGGGTTGAGTGTATTGTGAAGAGCTAATATTTATATCGAGGTTCTCCTAGAATCTAAGGGGTATAAGATGCAATCATTAGGTTAAGTGCTTGAATATGACATTGACACCCTCACGCATGACCGTTTAATGAGATTATTAATGATATTTGACATGTATGGTTAGTTATCTAGTTACTCGGTCTCCTCACCAAACTCATGCATTCTCTTTTGTTTTATCTTATATTAAAAGGAAAAAAAAAAACATACTTTATAGCTTCAGATTAAAAAAAAAAAATTGCCCCCAAAACTTGATCTAGTAGATGAAAAGTTTCATTTAAAATTTGATTTCAACGACATACCGAGGGGTTTACCATCCTAATGCAATGGAAAAACTCGAGTTATCAAAAATATATACGAGTTTGGTTTCTATTTCAAAATAAATGTCCATTTGATTTGGTTAATAATCTAAATTAAACCTTCATTCCCTATTTCTTGAAAAATTAATCCAACTTTATTTAATAGAAATGGAATAATTGTTCTAGATTTTTTTTGTTTTGTGGAGAAAGACCCACCCTCTACGGGGAAAGAAAAACAACTACCACACTCTGGTTGCACTTGCCCCAAAGGCATCCGCTGCTAGGAGGGGATTTAAGTTTAACGGCGGGTTGTCGAGCCACGTAGTACCCCAATTCGCGGTTTGTCCCAGGTTGGCCAGATGGTCCGCGCATTTGTTTCCCTCTCACAAAGTAGCCAATATTTTACGGTCCTTAAAAATGGAAGAGGAGCACTCTTCTGCAATATTGTCTCCGTTCATGACCGCCACCACGGAATCTAAATCTAATTCAAAGTTGACTTTACTTAACCCCTGTTGTTTGCCAGCCGTACACCCTCCTTAGGCCTCACAGCTCTGCGCCAAAACTATTAAATACCCCAATATTTGTCATAAACCTAAAGAGTCACTCCCCTTTGTGATCACGAGCAAGCCCCCTGCACTCGCCAAACTCATACTTCTCTTGAAAGCTCTATCAGTGTTAATTTTGATCCAACCTGTTTTCGGGGATGCCAACACACCCACATCATCCTCCCACTTCAACACACTTCTTTTTTAAGAAAACTTCTACAGTATCCACAGCCTTAGATTTATTTATTTATTTTTTTAATTTTAGAAAGATATTATTTTTAATACAAAACTTTATTTCAAGAGTTCCAACAAGTAGCCGGTGATTTGTTATAGTGTGAGGTGCAACCACTAGACCTCTAACTCAACCGCTTTTAATTAAAGCCCGGTTTTCGTCCTAAGCCGCTCGCTTTTTCATTGTTATCTCATCTCCTCTCATCTCCTCTCATCTCATCTCGCCTCCTCTCTTCCCTATCAAAAACCGCTAGGAATCTCCACTCTCCTCGAATCATTCCTTTGGGCCTCCATGGATTCTTCTTCAGACCTGCATGGTAAAGAGCCTCCTCTCCTTCCTCCTCCTATTTGGGTCGCCGATTCCCTGTTCGGCTCCGAGAACTCGTCTTCCGGCCTCAGCACGCCCTTCGGTTCCGTCGGCTCCACCAGAACTGAAACAGAGAGCGACGACGACGAAGGCGAGGATTTCCTCGCTGAGTTGACTCGCCAGATGGCCGGTTATATGCTTCAGGATGAAGATGATGAGCCGAATATTTTGGTTGAAGATCATGAACACTCTCCCAAATTCAAGGAGGTAAAATTTTTTTTAGGTATTTTTCAAGTATTTTTTGGTTCTAATGTTAGTGAAGATCAGATTTCGATTTGATGTGTGGTTATGGCTATTGCCAGGAACTTGCGAACTCATCTGCGAATTCAGACTCTGCAAATTACGCGATGAGACCAATCGAAGTAAGAACAAAATCAGACAATCCTTTTTCCAATTTCTTCTTCTTCTTCAATAACAATACTCCATTATTTTACAGGTTTACACGATGAGAGACCAATCATCCTTGAGAAAACAGAGTAATCCTACTCCGCGAGGAAGACGAGTCGCGAAAACCGAGTCGATTCATCCACGAGTTGAGCACGCAGCGGAGGCGGAGCACCACATGCCGAAGAAAGGCAGAAGAAGAGGAAACGGACATGGCGGTGGAAGGGCCCACACGTTGAGAAGCGGGTCGGGTATGCAGGCGGTTTTCCTCGGAGGCTCCGGCTACGTAACCGGTGCTTCCAGTAGTGGGACAGGCGTTTTCATTCCCCGTGGTTGCAACTACCACAGCCAACCCGAACCCAAGAAGAAAACTGGTACGCTTTAAATTCTGTTCTAATTTATAAATTAGGAATTTAATTTTTCCCTTTAAAAATAAGTGAATAGATTAAAAAAATTAAAAATATTAGTGTCCTTTAAGTTAATAAAGTTGATATTATTTTGAAATTGCCTAACAAGAGAATGAAAGAATATAATTTACCATATAAATTATAAATTACGTTCTTATAAAAATGTCTCATTGAAATATTTGACTAATTATTGTCGTTTTAAGTAAAAATTATGGAATGATTCCAAAACTTTTTCTATAAACTATAAAGTAAATTCTTATCGATTTGTCTTTTAATGAAAAATGACTCGATTAATTATTGTCGTTTCAAGTAAAAATTAACTGAGCAATTGGATGAGTTCTATAATAAGGATTTAGATGTAGAAAAGTGTGATAAGTATATTCCATGAATCTTATTGTATGCTATAAAACCAATTAAGATTCCTTTCTTGTATGGGAGTAATGTTTGAGAATTGAGAGTATCTTCTGTGTACCACCTGCCATCTAACTTTTTCAATGAAAGAACCTTTTACCAATATGCTGGTCCAGAGTGGGGTCTTTTTTCCGCCAATTATTATTGTAACACTTTGTTTGCGATTGCGACGTGTCAGAATGCTCACTCTACTACGTAACTACACTACCACACCTTCTCCATCTCGAAAATTTCGGCTACTTGATTCTATCCCTATGTTAATTGGGAAAATTATACTTTTTTTTTTCTTAAAAAATTCTTAAAATGTAGGGTAATGGTAGAATTTATCCTTTAAATATTGGTAGTGCTCACTTTTAAATTATCTTTTACGTTGCACTTTCATTCTTTTATTAATTTTTTATGCTTATTTTTATTCCTGAATTATATTAAAATTGTAAAGTTCGTCCTGATGTTTTGTTATTAAAAAAGTGAAAAGTGCAACGCTAATGATAATTTAGAGCTGAAAATTGCAATTTTTCTTAATTATTTATGGGAGGTAGAGGTAGAGGTGTGTGATGACTAAGGCTATCTAAAAAAAAGTTGTTTCATGCTTGATAATATTTTAAAGGAACTAAAAAGAATTCAGAGTAAAAGTTATTCATAGTGTTCTTTAAAAAAAAAGTTATCTACAGTAAAGATTATCAAGAGTATATGGTGTTGAGAAGAGTTTGGGTTGCGAGTTATTGTAATATCCGAATTTTCTGAAAAATGGTTCTTAAATTGGGGACAAATTTCACTTTTAAATTAATTTTGTGGTGAAATTAGGGTATTAATTTTTTTTTAGAAAAGTCAAATACTTTATTGTTTGATTCACTGTTAGCTTTTTAAATGAAAAATTACTAGGATATGTTGAACAGATATTACAAAATAGGTTACTCATAATGTAATTTGTTGTTTTTGGTAATTGACGGTGGGGATCTTTGGGTTGGGTTGGGTTGGAAATTGGAATCGGACGGTGGAAAGGTGGAGTGACAGCGAGAGTAGTATTTTGGTTTTTGTCGTGGAATCTGGAACATGGGATTGGAATCTAGATCCACCAATGCCAGTCAAGCTTATCCACTCCCCTGCGGCTGTCCACTCCATCCACGCAACTCGGCCGACATTTCACCCATTTCTATCCACTACTCTTCTTTTTCCTTCTCTACTAATCGAGATGAGATATTCTTTGGGATAGTTTTAGCCTTTTTTTTAAGACTAAAAATTACTATTTTAGTCTTTCAATCATTCGTTAAAAGACAATAGAGCGACTAAACTACACATATATAACTATAATAAAAATTGTGTAATTGATACTCCGTAATTATCAAAACATGAATAATTGAGAAATTATAATCCCGTTGTTTTTTTTTTTTTTTTTTTTTTTTTTTTTAATTACTTTTAGATTTAAAGTACTTCTAGATGTATTTTATGGGATTAAATTAATTTGAAATGATATAAAATTTGATAAAAGGATGATATTTAATAGGTGGATGATTATTATATTTATTATTCTAAATATCAATCAATAATATTTTAAAAGTTAATGGCTCTTTGGCGTTGCAAAGGTGGAATAATTGAAGTGTGTTTATTGATTGATTGGTTTGTTAAAATATTATTAGTATTGAAATTGTGTTGTGTGCTGATGTAAACGCTTGTTGACTATGATATGAGAATAGGGTGCTCTACGGTCTTAATACCTACAAGAGTATTGCAAGCTCTACAGCACCACTTCAGCACTATGGAAGCCAAGTCACAATCAAACACCTATGCTGCCTCTCCTAGTAATCGCCCAGTACAGTTTGGTACATGTCTTTTCCTACCTTCATTTTTTTATGGACCACACGGGTATAAATTGGGAGATTGAACTTGTTACTTAATCTGTTTAACTTATTTAATTAATGATTTAATATCCAAAATGATCATCGACTATAATGAATTTTTTTTTTTTTTTTTTTAAATTTCGTTCTAACAGCTTTGGTGGCTTAATGTAGTCTTAGACTTTTATGTTTTTGCTTAATTTAGTCATCTTTTTGTTATTTTGTCCATTTGGTGTTAAATAAAGGAATAATTTAGTAATTTTCATATTGACATCTCTTTACTTCTAACCTGTGAAGTGCGAAATCTCTATTTCTTTTATGAATTACTCTCAAATTTGATCCATAGGTCCTGGGAGTAATTCGTAGACTAAAGAGGGATTTCACATTTCGCGTAGAGAAAGATCATTATTGAAATTATTGAATTGTCTCTTTGTTTAATACCAATTTGACGGAATAAATAATGAAGGACTAAATTGTACAAAAAAAACAAATATCTGGGACTACATATTATCAAAATCGTTTAGGACGAAATTGAAAAAAACCACTATAGTCGAAGTATTAACTCTCTAATTAATTTAAACAAGTTAATTGTAATTACATTATTTACGTTTTTTATGGGCTTTTTATTAATAAATTTATTTATTTATTTGTTTGTTTGGCGTTACAGCTACGGGGAATAAAATAGAAGACTCGCTTCCACAAATAGAACAACATTCGGACGTCGAAACGCAACCGGCAACGATCGACCAGGAGATGCAACTACCACAAGAGTGGACTTATTAAAGTCGTCGAAATTCCGGCGGGGTTGGGATGATGTACATAAGTTAGGTTACTATTATTAGTATTATTTGGTATGAAGAAATAAATAAAGGGCTAGCTAGGATGTGACATCCGAATAATGGAATCTGTGGGTAGTGAAGTTCGTGGGGACTGCATGTGAGGTGGATAATAACAGATTAAATTGCTGCGGCCTTCATTTTCTTCTTTGCTGATGAAAATTAAGGGTGGGTGGGTAATAATTGTATTGTTTATATGATTAGATGTGGTTTAGTGCGCTTGTAATAAGAAGTGTCGATGATTTTGATGCAAGAAATTGGAATGTGCATAGCAGTAATTGTTGAATGATGAAATATCGGAAGGTAGATCTTCTTTATTTTTTATTATAAATTATTAAAAAAAAAATCAACAGTTTCAACTTTCAAGTAGGTACCCTGTTGAATTTTAAAAACAGTAAAGTTTAATTATTGGTTTTAAAATTAATGTATTAAGAAATATTTTATTAAAAAGTTCTAAATGAGAGGCTCATTGTTTATTTTATTTTATTTTATTTTATTTTATAGTAACATACTTTCCATCCCATCATTGTTGTAACACACCCAATATCTATATTATGAGATGTGCAGTGTAGAACTAATGCAATTTTTCCCTTATTTTATAAACTCTATAAATGTTAAAGAGCAAGAATTTAAATGGTTATATCTCAATTTTGTCATAGAAATAGTTAATTTGAAAAACTTTTTATAAACTCATGAAATCACATTTTATTTAAAATATATTTGTTTTGCTGGCATAGCGTGAACCAATCTAAATTCTATATGTGCAAGGTTGTATGGGTGGCAATTTAAATGATCATTCTGGAATAATCTTATATTCACAATTTTAACTAAACTAGTGTCTTGTGGATGTTTTGTATTTTTTTTTTCAATTTTTATTCAATTTTTTTTTTGAAAGGAACAACTTTTATTTAATTGAACCTACAATACATAAAAAATGAACTTATAAAAAAAAATAAAAAAAATCAACTAATCGAACATCTCAACAACTAGTCACTCCTTCGACCTAACATTCCATACTTCCACGTGAGCCACCATGCCCTCTTCCTTTACTACTGTTGGTTCAACCGACTCTCTTATCTTCCACCCGTGACACTCCTCGCACTCCCCAACCATCTAGAGGCCTCTACCTCCAAAACTCTAGCTATTTTCAAGAACCCGTCCGTCACCTCCATCGACGTACCCGCGATTTGCCCCCACACAGACTTTCCTCCTGCCAATTAATTACCGACTCTCCCGATCGCCCCAGCATCTTCTGCCTCCTCTGGCCCCATGTCTTTAGCACCCTTAACTCCCCTACCACTCCTTGCTGTCCATCCAAATGGCCTCATCACATGTGGTCCTGGTTTCTTCGAGGATGTAGACTTCCCTCCCTCTTTGACCTCTATTCTCAACAATGGCGACTTCATTTTTGCTCGCCAACTACTCAACTCTTCCACGGAGGTTATCCTAGACAAGATCCCTCGACGTGTGGTTATGTCGAAATCTCGCTCCAGGCCATTTAGTAGGAATTTCGATTGCCCCCTCACCCTCTTTTTGATGAAATATTCCAATACCTTGGTGTAGTATCCAACCAGCTTCCGCCAAACTCCTTCCGGGTACTCACTTATTTTTTGACCCTCTACCACCACCACAACATACCCACCACTGGGGTAGAAATAGGCCGAGCCAAGCTTTAGAAAATTAGGCTTGAACCTGTTATGAAAATCAAAAGTCTAAGATTTGACCTAAGCTTGTATGTAGGCTTTTTGTTAGGCTCAAGCCTGAGCCTACAATAGCAAATTATGCCATGGACCAGTGTCCACATTGCAAGGTGGATTCGAGTTATATTCACAATTTTTGAACTGAATATTTACAATTTTAGATTTCAATACACAAAATTACAGAACTCAATATTCACAAATTGCATAACTCTATATTCACAATTTTTGAACTCTATATTCACATTTCATAACTCTATATTCACAATTAAAAAAACTCTATATTCACAATTATAGAACTGAATATTTACTCGCTGAGTTGTTTTCAATAATTTTTATTTTTTACAAAAAATCATTAGTTGTGAATACTCAGTTAAAAAATTGTGAATATAGAGTTCAAAATTTGTGAATATAGAGTTTAAAAATTATGAATATAATCTGGATCCACCTTGCAATGTGGACCCTGATCCATGACATAACTACCCGCCTACAATTGGCTTGGCTTGGCCAGAAGCGCTTTTAAAACCTTTTTAATATTTAGACTATTAAAAAGGCTTCAAAGTAAGTCCTACTTTGAGGCTATTAAAGCCTACATATTAAGACTTTTTAAAAACTTTAATAAGTATATCTCAATAATTTAAAAAATATACCTAATACAACACTAATACATAACTAGATAAGTATATCACCAAAATGCAAAAATACTAACATTAAAATATAAAAAATAATAATAAAACAAGTCACGACTTCAGCATGCTCGTTAACTTGTTTATAAATAAATTCAATTGTACTATTATTTGTCATTCTATATAATCTCATAAATAGTTAACAATCAACTCACATAATTAAATTATGACATTTCATTAAATATTATAACAGTAAGAACAATTAATAAAAAAAAAAATTAAATAATAAGAACACTTATAGCAGGATTAGCAACAATGTTTGTAGTTGAATTATAATTTAGAATGAGATTTTGGAGGTGGAGGGTTAGGGTTTGGTAATTATATATACTTGGGGTTAATTAGGCTAGGACATAGGCCCCTACAGGGGGCCTGGCCAATTCCCACCTCTACCCACCACCCTTCACTCTTTATTCAACTCTTCTTGGTCTCCCAAGTAGGCACAACATCGATGCACTAGTACACAAATGTACATAGAACACTGACTTTAAGCAATTGTTTTAAAAAGAACAATGGTGTATTTTTAAACAAAAACACGGTGGCATAATTGAAAATATTTGAATATGAATCTGCGACCGTTTTTAAAGAAAATTGTCGCGGTTTGAAAAAAAAAAAAAAGCGCAGGTGCTCTTCCGTAATTGTTCCTTCACAAAACAGTAGCGGAAAACCAACCGCATTAAAAAAATAAAAAATTCACAATCAACATTAAAGTGCGATTCATCAAATCTTCTATTCCCTTATTCTTCCAATATCCCCCCCGCCCCAGCATTTGATGCTCCAACTCCAGCTTCATCATTTTCATCTTCACTTTCATCTAAAAAAAAAAAAATAACATAATCAATTACGTGTAATCAAACTTGATGCTCCAACTCTAACGTAAATAAATCAAACTTGATAAAGAAACTAATGTTACCATTTGTAGAAAATCCATGTAATTAGTTACGTGTACAAATAAGAGCTTGTACTTTCATTGGGAGGAGGCGGATTCTATATTTGTTCAAAATATGAGCACCAATGCTAAAGGCGGATTCCAATGCTACTCTTGTAATAGAAATAGAAAGAACATCACATGCTATTTTAGCAAGCTCCCCATGACGGTGTTCTTTTTCTTTCCAATACAAGAGCACATCTATATCATCCAACTGATTTAGTTGATCATCTTCAAGTATTTGTCTAAATTAGACTTTATATCTCCACTACCAATTTGGCTTCGATGACGATAATCAACATAATACTATATAATTTAAGCATTAACACAATTACATGTGTTAATAGTTAATCAATAAAAATAAGCAATAAAAAAATATAATTAATAATGAATATGAAGTAAAAGGAATTTAACTTACACCAACATTTATTTTCATTCAATTTTCCTTGTCCTCAAGTACTTCCCAATCCTCCCCTTACTACTCCACACATATTTGTTGTTGAATAGACTGGATAGTCTTGTGATTGAGAAGTAGAAACTCTAGAAGATAGAAGAACCAACCTCTTATTCCTATATTCATTTTATAAAATGTATAATTTCATCTTGATCCATTCAATCTTGACTTGACAAGTAAGTGGATCAAGCTTCTTATAACAATATTTCACACATTGCAATTTCAACATTGGGTCAAGAGTAGCTCCCATTGCAAGTATTACATACGTACACTATAGTCATCCTAATACTTGTCAAACTTCAATTTCATGTTCATAGTCGTATCACTTATTACTTCATCCTCACTTTCTAAATTTTTGACCAACGAGCATTCAATCTTCTAAACTTGCAAAAAATACAAATGTGAAGCAGGATAGGGTGAACATGAAATCAAATTAGTGATAGCATATAATGGATGGATACAAAAATGCACACATCTTTTCTCCTCTTGACAACTCTTCATCCGAAGTACAACACTTGTAATTTCTATCTTGTAATTCAAGAGAGCAAAAAACACAACGATACCTTATTGTGACAACCCAAAATTTATTTTTCTAAATTCTATTTTACGAAATTCTAAAATAGCCATTTTCACTCTTCCAAAATTTTGTTTCGAAAATGATGTTTGAATTAAATATTTTAAACCGAGTTTTTAAATAAATTCAACGCCGAGATTTATTTTATTTTGAAAATTCTAAATATTGGGTACATTTATGTACCAAGTTTTGACCCAAAAAGTCAATCTGAGTGAAATCGGAAAAGAACCTGTGAAACCTGAACCAAGTGTTCTAACTAGAAAACATTTTTTTAAAAAATCTATTTTTGACCCCAAGTTATCCAAAATTCACTTTCTAGACTTTGGTCCATGATGCAAGGTGGACCATGAACCTTTCTACTCTTGTCTGATCTCATTGAAAGCAAGCCAAAATTCTCATTTCACCCTCAACCAATCATTGGCCTTCTCACCTAGGGTTTTCCACCCTATATAAACAACACTATTCATTTGTATTTCCCCGATCTCTTCCCTTGCCTCTCCACTCTTGAGCTCAAACAGTAAGTTTTTAACATTCATCTCCTCCATTCATTTTCCATCCTACCTTAAGGTTTCCTTTTCTCTTAGTCTTCAATCTCTGAGGTTTCTTAGACTTGGTTTGTGTTGTTGTTTAAGGCGTTTAGGTGGTGAAAGAAGTGGTATTTGAGTAGAGAGGAGGTGGATATCAATACAAAGAAGAAGAACAAGAAGATGTATAAACCATGGACTCCCAAACCTATATTTTCATCTCTGTTAACTGCCTTTCTTGTGGTTTGATGTGTAGAAATGCTAAATAGATGTTGTGGTTGAGCTATATGTGTGTTGTAGATGATCTAGGATTGATTTGTTGTGGTTTGGAAGATTTGGTTTGCACTGGTTTTGCTTTGCAGGTGGTGTTAGAGGTGTCTGGTGCACACAGAAGGTGCACCAAATCACCCCACGGAGCTAGCCAATGGACCTTGACAAGGTCTGTTGGGCT